CACTATCCCTTGTGCACTAGGCCCTCTGAAGTTTGAAAGTTGCGTGTGTGATTTAGGAGCAAGCATTAATCTTATGCCTCACTTCATTGCCAAAAAGCTAGGCTTTACCAAGTTTAAGGAGTGCAGAATCTCACTTGTTCTGGCCGACAGAAGCATAAGGCTCCATGTAGGTGTGCTTGAAGACCTACCCGTGAGGCTTAGTGATGTGAATGTGCCAACAGATTTTCTAGTTCTAGAAATGGATGAAGAACCAAGAGATCCTCTAATCCTTGGTAGACCCTTTCTAGCAACTGCTGGAGCAATCATAGACGTGAATAATGGGAAGATCTCTCTGCACCTTGGCAAGGACATCAAGCTAAACTTTGACATCAATGAAGTTTTGAAGAAGCCAACGATTGAAGGACAAGCGTTCTACATTGAAACTTTGGATAAATTGTCTAATGAGTTGCTTGAGGAATTGGCACAAGAGGATCATTTACAGCTGGCTTTGACAAAGGAGTGTGGGAAGTATGGTTTCCTGTGTGAACAAACCCAAGAGTACGTGCACATCCTTGATTCTCGCAAGGTTGTGAAAGAAGATGAAGGCCATTGCCTAGAGATCGACCTGGAAATCGACAAGATCACTCGATCCAGGAAAGAAATCGATGAGAAGATCGACCAAGACAGCTCGATCAGTTCAGAGAATGACTCAGTGAATCGATCTCCTGCTCGATCCATATCAAATCGAGCAAGTGAATCGAGAGAGTGCAATCGATCCAGCCTAGAACGAGAGGAAGATCGACTGACTGGCTCGATCTCAGTGGTAGCAACGGTTCAAGAAGGCAGCTTGAAAGCTCAAGACTCGGGTTCAAATGAGGCAAATGAGGACATCAACGTCCACACCAGCCAAGAGGAGGACTGGAGCGAGCTGCTAGCCCCAAAGGTGGACCTTAAGCAGCTTGCCAATGGGCTAAGGTACACTTTCTTGGGACCAAATGACACTTATCTTGTCATTGTGAATGAAAATCTGAGTGATGATGAGTTAAACTCACTCCTTAAGGAGTTGAGGAAGTATAGAAAGGCCATTGGGTACTCTCTAAGTGACATCAAGGGCTTTTCACCAATGCATTGTACTCATAGGATTCACTTAGATAATGAAAACACTTCTTCCATTGAACATCAAAGACGTTTGAACCCAAACTTGAAAGAAGTAGTTAAGAAATAAATTTTAAAACTCTTAGAAGCTGACGTGATACACCCTATCAGTGATAGCACGTGGGTCTCTCCAGTCCATGTGGTACCAAAGAAAGGGGGTATCACGGTTATTAAAAATGAGAAAGATGAGTTAATTCCTACAAGAACAATAACTGGACATAGAATGTGTATTGATTATAGGAAACTCAACTCAGCCACTAGGAAATATCATTTCCCTCTTCCTTTTATTGATCAAATGCTAGAAAGATTAGCCAATCACCCATATAACTGTTTTCTTGATGGCTATAGTAGTTTCTTTCAAATACCCAGTCATCCTAATGACCAAGAGAATACCACTTTCACATGCCCTTATGGTACCTTTGCATATCGAAGGATGCCTTTTGGGTTATGTAATGCACCAGCAACCGTTCAAAGGTGCATGATGTCTATCTTCTCTGATCTTTTAGAGGAAATGGTAGAAGTTTTCATGGATGATTTTTCTGTGTATAGTGCTTCTTTTGGTGGTTGTTTGTCAAATCTTTGCAGGGTTCTAAAGAGATGTGAGGGGACAAACTTGGTGCTGAATTGGGAAAAGTGTCACTTCATGGTGAGAGAAGGCATTGTACTTGGGCACAAGATTTCTGAGCAAGGGATTGAGGTTGACAAAGCAAAGATAGAGGTCATGATGAGCTTAGAGCCGCCGGTTAATGTGAAAGGGATAAGGAGCTTCTTGGGGCACGCTGGCTTCTACAGAAGGTTTATCAAGGATTTCTCCAAGATAGCTCCTCCTCTTACAAGGCTGCTGTGCAAGGAAGCCGAGTTTGTGTTTGATGATGAGTGTCTACAAGACTTCAAGACCATCAAGGAAGCTTTGATCACCGCGCCTATAGTTCAAGCTCCGGATTGGGATCTGCCCTTTGAGATGATGTGCGATGCAAGCGACTATGATGTGGGTGCTGTATTGGGTCATAGGAAGGACAAGAGGCTGCACGTCATTTACTATGTAAGCCGTACCTTGGATGACACGCAAGTGAAGTATGCAACCACTGAGAAAGAGCTACTAGCTGTGGTCTTTGCTTTTGAGAAGTTCATGTCTTACTTGGTGGGTTCTAAGGTTATTGTTTACACTGATCATGCCGCCTTGAGGTATATATACTCTAAGAAAGACACCAAGCCGAGACTCTTGAGATGGATCCTTCTTTTACAAGAGTTTGATATGGAGATCAAGAATAAGAAGGGTATAAAGAATGGTGTAGCGGATCATCTTTCAAGAATGAGAGTGAATGATGTCTTGCCTTTAGATGACTCACTCCCTGAAGAGCAGCTTATAATGGTCAACACAGTGGTGTGTTCAAAGCTAGAGGAGAAGTTTGAAGAAGTCTTGAGTTTCAAGGAAGAAGACCTACCTTGGTATGCGGATATTGTCAACTACTTGGCTTATGGAGAAGAGCCTACTCACTTGGATCATTACAATAAGAAGAAGTTCATGAGGGACATCTCTCACTACTTTTGGGATGACCCTTATCTCTACAAGAGGGGTGTGGACAGCTTATACCGAAGATGTGTTTCAAGAGAAGAAGCTAGAGACATTCTTCTACATTGCCACGGTTTGACTTATGGTTGACACTTCGCTTCATTCAAGACGGCTACAAAGGTTTTACAAGCCAGGTTTTGGTGGCCTACACTCTTCAAGGATGCTCATGAGTTTGTAAAAGCGTGTGAAGCTTGCCAAAGGTCAGGGAACATCACAAAGAGGAATGAGATGCCGTAGGTACCTATCTTTGAGGTGGAAGTGTTTGATGCTTGGGGGATTGAATTTATGGGTCCATTCCCATCATCATATGGCAACAAGTACATCCTTGTGGCAGTAGACTATGTGTCTAAGTGGATAGAAGCAATAGCCTCCCCAACTAATGATTCAAAAGTTGTGGTCAAGCTCTTCAAGACCATCATCTTTCCAAGGTTTGGAGTTCCAAAGATAGTTATCAGTAATGGGGGCAGCCACTTCATCAACAAAGTCTTTGAGGGCCTTTTGAGGAAGTATGAAGTTAAACACAAGGTAGCTACGCCTTATCACCCTCAAACCAGTGGCCAAGTGAAGGTTTTGAATAGGCAAATCAAGGCCATCCTAGAGAGGACCGTGGGAGTAACTAGAAAGGACTGGGCAAGCAGGCTTGATGACACTCTTTGGGTGTATAGAACGGCCTTTAAAACGCCCATTGGTACTACACCTTTCAACCTTTTCTATGGCAAGTCTTGTCACCTAACTGTGGAGTTAGAGCACAGAGCATTTTGGGCTGTGAAGCAAGTGAACTTCAGTCTCAAGACGGCACAAGAGAGAAGGTTGGTGCAACTCCATGAGCTTGATAAGGCTGGACGCTTATGAGAGCGCCAAGATCTACAAAGAAAGGACCAAGGCGGTTCATGACAAGAAGCTGGTGCTTAAGGAGCTCAAGGAGGGAAGTCTGGTCTTGCTCTACAACTCGCGTTTGAAGTTGTTCCCTAGGAAGCTAAAGTCTACATGGTGCGGACCGTTTGAGGTGAAAGAAGTGCTACCATATGGAGCGGTTACTTTGGTTGGCAAGAGTGGAAAGGCTTTCACGGTGAATGGGCATAGAGTCAAGCCCTACATGGCGAGTGATTGCAGCAAGGAGAGTACTACATTGCTTCTCCAAGATCCCCCTATAGCCTAACAAAGTAAAGTCAAGCTAGCAACGTAAAACAAGCGCACTTAGGAGGCATTCCCATGACTATCATTGTACATATTTTTGCTTTCTTTCTGTTTCAGTTTTATGCTTTTTAGTTTAAGTGTGTAGGTACAAGGAGATGGGAACTAGAGATCATGATCTTGGAGTCAAACAGGCAAGGAAATGAGAAACATGTGTTACATATATTACTAAATTTTTTTTGGGTATATATATATTACATATATTACTAAATTTTAATCTACCAGAAAAATGTGTTACTATTTTTTTAATTTGTTTTCGTTTATATATTGATATTACCCGAAAATCCTATTATATTTGAGTTAGTTAGGTTAATGAACATAATTTTTTTTTCTCTATTTTATTCTTTAATTTATTTTTATTTAATAAAAATTATGAATTAAATAAAAAAATAAAAGTGGAAATTTTGTATTTTGCTCGAAACCTACAACACAAATATAATTAATATAGTAATCAATAATATATAAATTCTTGAATATATATATATATATATTATTGTGAAAAATATAAAATGTAATATAATATATATAGATGTTATTTAACATTTTGATAGTTTGTATAAAAGTGTTTGTGAAAATTCATTGTTTGCTTTTTTTATTATTTATTTCATAAGAATATGTTATTTTGAGATTTGTTACAAAATAATAATTTAGAAAGTAATTTTTAAGGAAAATTAATCATAAAAATGTTATTCAACTATAAAATAAAATATTATGGCTTTAACTGGTGACATAAAAAATGGAAAGAAATATTACATTTCTTATCATTCTTTAAAATTATATCATCTAAAAGGAATATATTGTACACATGATTTCTTCTCATTCCTTATGTTTTAAGGAACTATAATGTTAATTTATTCTTTATTAAAAATGAAAAAGAACAATAATTCCTATAATTTTGTTCCTTTCATTTATTTTCCTATTCATTTTTATTATTATTTTTATGATCACCAGTTAAAGCATATATACATCAATTGCTTTGATATGTGTGTTCTTGATCAATCTCGCGGTGCTCTTGCTTCAATCTGATTCCTATAATTTTGTTCTTATCATTCATTTTCCTATTCGTTCATATTATTACTTTTATGGTCACCTATTAAAGCCTATATACATCAATTGCTTTGATGTGTGTGTTCTTGATCAATCTCGCGGTGCTCTTGCTTCAGTCCTCAGATTGAGATATTTTCTGACCGGAGGAGGAAGGAGAAACGATGGGTTGTGTCCTAATTTCTTCTTGTCCCCCGTCCTCGCTCGTGCTCGCCTCTCACCCTCACCAAGTTTGTCTTCGCTCTTCCGAATCTGACGATTTTATTGTTTTCCCCAATCTTTTAATAATCCTCTGTTCTGTGGTCACAATTTTTGCATCGATCAGTTCTCCGCCGGAATCTAAAGCAGTGAGATTCCGGTTCGTCCTCAATTTTCTCCGACCCGTAGAACCCTTATTGCGAAACCATGTTGTTTCAATCTCCCTCAAGATTCCATTCTCTCCTAGGCTCTCAAGGTACTCTATTTTTTTCCTTCTTCAATCACTTCCCTAGATCCCGTGACTTTCTTTTGAAATTGGATATAAAGAATTGTGATGCAGATTAGTGAATTTATATGTCTGCGGATGACAATATTGATTGCGTCAGGAAACTCAAATAGCAATTTTGCAAATTATATATATATCAATTGATTTCCAAGGAAGCCTTGGAAGCAATCTCTGAAGGTACATGATTATTGAAATTCTTATCTTTTTTTTTTAACTTCATAGACTTTCCTCATGGTTTCATTATTGCTTGATCGAAATCCAGGAAAGTTTGACGAAGCTATAGATCATTTAACAAAAGCCATCATGCTAAACCCTACTTCAGCAATTCTCTACGCCACCAGAGGTAAGTTTTTTTATTTAACTCTCTCTCTCTCTCCCTTTTCAACCGAATGTGGGTGATCATTCTGAATATTTGTACTTGTTGTTTCCCAGCTACTGTGTTTCTAATAGTTAAAAAGCCAAATGCTGCAATCCGCGATGCAAGCGTGGCTTTATAGGTGAGCATTTACTTTGAGTCACATAAACTTATTCAGTTTATGCAGAAGATAAAATTGGGAAAGCAAATTTGTGTCTATATCAATTGATTTCCATGTGGTATTGTGTGTCCTAGAGTATGGTTTCATACACATTCCTGAAAGAATGGGCAAGGTCGGAGGCGAAGAAGAAGGCACAGGCATCAAAGCTATGGCTATCTCATCAAGCTTACACAGCTTCATCTATGGTAATCTCTCTTCACATCCATAATTGTTATAAGCAAGTTCGAGCTTACTTTCTTTCTCATCTTCTGATTCTCGTCTATTTGAATACTCAAGTACGATGGCTCAACATATACTCGTTTGGTTCCTCTATTCAATGAACACAACGATGCAAGTAATACTCCTTTGTTTCTTACTGCTCTGAATTCCAATTTCAGCTTTCAATTTTTGCTCCTTATTAAAATTGTAAATATCAATAGATGTAAGGAATAAACCGTGAATTGTCTTATCCATCTTTCTTGATTATACTTTCAGATTTGGAGTTTCAATAGGCTTACAGCGGTAAAGCTGTATCACTTCCAGAAACCGGTCAGTTTGTTATCTCTTAAGATTGTATGATAAGGTATTTGAACTGAATTGAAGACATAGTGAAATTGACTCCATAAGTAGTATTATCTTTTATTTGTTTTTTAAAATAAAAACAAAAGCTTGTAGCAGATTCACCGATAAAATAAAAATTGTACAGTTATATGTTCAGATTATGAAAACAAAACAGAGTGCTTGAATGAAACAAAAGTCGATTGTTTATTGCTAGAAAAAACCTTTTGTTTAATTATAAATTTAAAAGTGGACGTTGTTACTCAAGCGGAGGGGGGTAATACTTCGAAAGGGGATCAACTTCTATAATGTATGGATAGAGAGGCCAACAAAGGGTAAAGAAGCAGCTGTAGAGAAGAAAGTGGAGCAAGCAACAGAGGAGAAGGATGAGTACATACCTCCATCGTATGTTCTTAAGCTCCTATTTCCTGGCCGCTTCAAGAAACAACTTATAGAAAAGCATAGACTTCTTTTTGAGAAGCATCTAAGGGACGTAGAGATCAAGTTATCTCTCGTTGATTGCCTTGCTTTGATGCCTAAGTGTGCAAAAATTTTCAAGGACACGCTTGCAAAGAAGAACAAGGAAAGCAAGGAACTGCGGGTGCTTAGTGAAGAGTGTAGCGCCATTATACACAAGGAGATAGTCTCCAAAAAGTTGGGAGATCCAGGAAGCTTCACTATACCATGTGCTCTCGGTCCTTTGACATTTCAGAATTGCTTGTACGATTTGGGAGCTAGCATAAATCTGATGTCACATTCTATTGCTAAGAAGCTCGGTTTTACCCGATTCAAAGACTGTAGAATCTCTTTGGTGCTAACTGACAGAAGCATGAGGTTACCTGTGGGTTTGCTTGAGGACTTACCAGTAAAGATCAGTGGTGTAAACGTGCCTACAGACTTCGTTGTGTTAGAAATGGATGAAGAGCCTAAGGATCCGCTCATCCTTGGAAGGCCGTTCCTAACAACCGGAGGTGCTATCATCGATGTAAAGAACGAGAAGATTGCCTGCATCTTGGTAAAGGAATCAAGTTGGATTTCAACATCAACGAGGTTTTGAAGAAGCCTACCATAGAAGGACAAGCTTTTTATATAGAGACGTTGGACCCTCTAGCCGATGAACTACTAGAGGAGTTAGCACAATAAGACCACTTGAAGCTGGCTTTGACTAAAGAGAAGGGAGAGTATGGTTTCTTGGACGAGCGGACTCAAGAGTACATCAACCTGCTAGATTCTAGAAGGATTGTCAAGGAAGATGAAGGCGGCTGCTTAGAAATTGACCCCGAGATCGATGCAATCAGTCGATCAAGAGGGCAGATCGACAAGCCAATCGAGAACACAACTCGATCCTGTGAAAGAATCGACAGTCAGATCGAAGAGAGCAGTCGATCCAGGAAATCAATCGAGTCCACGATCGAGAGAGGCCTTCCGATCAGTTCATGGTACATTTCAGAGAATGATTCAGCACATCGATCTCTCACTCGATCCACATTAAATCGAGTGAGTGAATCGAGTGAAAGTGATCGATCCGAAGCAGAACGAGTTGAAGATCGACAGGATGACTCGATCTCAGAGAGGACAGCGGTTAAGGAAGGCAGTCTTGTGGGTTATTGAACGGGTTCTAAGGAGGCTGCTGAGGATGGGAACATCAACAAGAGCCACGAGGAGGATTGGAGCGAGCTGCTAGCCCCAAAGATTGACCTTAAGGAGCTCCCAGAAGGGCTAAGGTATGCTTTCTTAGGGCTTAATGAAACCTATCACGTGATTATGAATGAGAACTTAAGTGATGATGAGTTGCACTCGCTCCTAAATGAGCTTAGAAAGTATAGGAAGGCCATTGAGTACTCTCTAAGTGACATTAAGGGCTTTTCACCAATGCTTTGCATTCATATGATTCACTTGGATAATGAGAATGCCTCTTCTATAGAACACCAAAGGTGTATGAATCCTAATTTAAAAGAGGTTGTTAAGAAAGAGATTCTTAAGCTGTTAGAGGTTCACATGATCTATCACATAAGTGACAGCACGTGGGTTTCTCCAGTATACGTGGTGCCTAAGAAGGGAGGGATCACGGTCATTAAGAATGATAAAGATGAGCTTATACCTACTAGGACTATAACTGGTCACCGTATGTGTATAGACTATAGGAAGCGTAATCTTGCTACTAGAAAGGATCATTTTCCTTTATTTTTTATTGTTCAAATGCTTGAGAAGCTTACTAATCATCTTTATTATTGCTTTTTAATGGATATAGTGGTTTCTTTCAAAAATCAATCCATCCGAATGATCAAGAGAAGACGACCTTTACATGTCCTTATGGCACCTTCACATATCGAAGGATGCCATTCGGGTTGTGTAACGCACCGGGTACGTTTCAGCGGTGTATGATGTCGATCTTCTCTGATCTAATAGAAGAGATGGTAGAAGTGTTTATGGATGACTTCTCTGTATATGGTACGTCTTTTTCTGAGTGCTTGTTGAATCTTTGCAAGGTATTAAAGCGTTGTGAATAGACGAATCTTGTGTTTAACTGGGAGAAGTGTCACTTCATGGTGAAAGAAGGGATCGTTTGGTCACAAGAAATCAGAGAAGGGCATAGAGGTTGATAAAGCCAAAGTTGAGGTCATGATGAGTCATGATGTCAAAGGAGTAGTTTCTTAGGTTATGCAGGCTTCTACAGGAGATTCATAAAGGATTTCTCCAAGATAGCGAGGTCCCTCACACGGTTTTTATGCAAGGAAGCTGACTTTGTGTTTGATGAGGATTGTCTTCGTGCTTTTGTGACCATCAAGGAAGCTCTTGTATCCGCGCCAATAGTCCAAGCACCGGACTGGACTCTACCATTCGAGATCATGTGTGACGTGAGTGACCACGCCATTGGAGCTGTTCTTGGTCTGAGGAAAGACAAGCGGTTGCACGTTATCTACTATGCTTCACATACATTGGATGACACGCAAGCCAGATACACTACAACCGAGTAGGAGCTGTTGGCAGTCGTCTTTGCATTCGAGAAGTTCAGATCATATTTGGTAGGAGCCAAGGTTCTACGGTATATCTACTCGAAGAAGGACACTAAGCCAAGGCTGTTAAGGTGGATTCTCCTTTTACAAGAGTTTGATATGGAGATAAAGGACAAGAAGGGCATTGAGAATGGGGTTGCTGATCACCTTTCCAGGATGAGGATCAATGAAGCTTTGCCTCTACAGCGGAAGAGAAATTCATGATGATCACTACGTCGGTTTGTGAGAAGCTTGAGGATAAGTTTGAGGAAGTTTTAAGCTTCCAAGAAGAGGATCTTCCTTGGTACGCTGACATTGTAAACTTTTTGGCATGTGGAGAGGAGCCAACTCACCTTGATCATGACCATAAGAAGAAGTTTATGAGAGATGTTGCCTATTACTTTTGGGAAGAGCCCTACTTATACAAGAGAGGGGTTGATAGCTTGTACAGAAGATGTGTCTCGTGGGATGAAACTCAAGACATTCTACTTCACTGCCATGGATCATCATACGGCGGCCATTTCGCTTCTTTCAAAACCGCTACAAGGGTGTTGCAAGCCGGCCTTTGGTGGCCATCTTTGTTTAAAGACGCCCATGAGTTTGTCAAAGCTTGTGAAGCATGTCAAAGAGCTGGAAACATCACGAAGAGGAACGAGATACCTCAGGTTCCTATCTTTGAAGTTGATGTGTTTGACGCGTGGGGCATAGATTTCATAAGACCATTCCCATCTTCTTACGGCAACAAGTTTATCCTAGTAGCGGTTGACTACGTTTCTAAATAGGTTGAGGCCATTGCTTCCCCTATAAACGATTCTAAGGTAGTGACAAAGCTCTTCAAGAGCATCATATTCCCGCGGTTTGGAGTCCCTAAAAATTGTGATCAGCAACGGTGGCAGCCA